GAGTGGCAGAGGAGTTCAGAGAGGGAGTTTGGATCATTAGCAAGTCAAGCAGACGAGTTGTGCCATCCCCAAACTGCCCTCCCACACCAGCATCACTGCTGATTTCCAAATCAGCCAGAAAACTCCGTCAAAAACCAACCTAAGAGGGGCCATCAACGCAATTAAAAAGGTCCAACTATCTAGGAGCTTTCTAAATCCACACACCTCACTCCAGAGGAGGGTTCTGCACAGGAAGTCTGCAAGAATTCCTCAGCTGTTATTTTCCACAGGTTTAGAGTACACACAAAGCAAAAGCAAAAGCACATGAAGCTTTGCTGGCAGCAAGACCTGATGTCTTCATTGATGTAGCAAAGATACAGGAGGCTTTAAATACTCCAGTGGGGGAAAAGAGAAGCTTTAATTTGGCAAACTGTCCCTGTGAAACCAATGGGGCAGCGAAGAGGCATCACACCTGGCTGCTGGAGCAAACCACACAGAGCAGCTCCCAAAGGATGGCACAGAGCCCACCCACACACAGGCATGACCAGATCCCCAGGGAACACCCAGGATTTCAAGAGCTCAGCTCCACAAACAAAAGTCCTACCAGGAATCACAGGCAACAAGACAAGCTGGGGTTTAAAGCTAAAGAGCGAACGGCAGGAAATCCAAATGGAACAAAAAGCTCCAATCTGGAACAAAATCAATCCACACAAGGAGGCAGCTTCCCTGGTCTGGATGATTTTAGAGCATAAGCAAAGTGAAGTTTCTGTGAGGCTACTCCTGAGCAGCCAGCAGCTAAATCAGGTGGGTTGTGCAGCCAAACTCCAGCTACCAAGGTGACAAAACAAGGAGTGCAGCAGTTCACCTGCAAGGGCACAAAAGGACACTTCTGGCATGGACCTGCCAAACTGGGAAGGACACAAAGAGCCAGCAGAAAGCAAGACCTGTGGCTCACAGAATGCCAGAAACCTTTATAGAATGTATATAAATATAGATATATCCTCTGTGTCAGTGAAACAGGCAGCAGTCCCTGTCCTGCCCGGGCTGTCTGTTCACAGGGAAGGTCAGTGAAAACACTGAAGCTGCCTCAGTCCTGCCAGTGACCTGGAAGTTATATCAGAACAAAACTGCCAGTTTTTACCCCAGACTGTCTCCCAGGAGCACTCTGAGATGGGCAATTCCAGCTGACACAGCCACTATTCCAGAGCACTGGGTTTGAAGAGTATAATGGAGGTTTTTCTCCATTTAAGAAAGATTTCACCACGTGTTCTGCGCTGTATTTTTGTACTCCTGACTCACAACCAAATTAATTCAGTTGTCATCAAGCCCAGCAATGAAAAGAAGCACAAAACCCTCCAGCATCCCTGGAGCAGCTGCTGCAGGTCTGCCCTGCCTGAAAGCTCCACAAAGTTTCAACTCCTTCACATGCTGCTCAGAATAATTTCCTTGGGTGTTTCTGTTTGGTGTTTCAGCCTAAAACAGATCAAATTGTCTTAAAATAAACCCGGTTGTTCCCATCTAAAATAATGCTGTTGAAGAAAACCACTTGTTTGCTCATGACAGACTTGGCATCAAAACAGAAAAATAATATTCTGACATGTTTATAAGTGGAGCATTAACTCCAACAGCCTTTTGGAGCCACACAGCTCTGGGGGGCGGATCTGGGGCAGAGTTAAAACATTCCAGAAAGGATTACAAGCAAATTAGCTGAATTACTGGAGGTAACTTCATTTTTGTGGGGATGTTTTTGCTTGGCTTAAGTTCTTGAGGGGTTTCAAACAATTCCAAGTAGATAAACACATCAGTGAACTTCTGCCCTGTTACCTGCCACGGTCTGACCCCAGGTTCCAGATGTTTCTTAGAGCTGGAGGAGTTTATAGTCACACCTGACAGGGAGCTGAAGCTCTGGGATCTGCTTCAGGCTACGTGTCAGCAGCTGGAGCAGAGAGGAAATCAGCTGATGAACTTTGTGTCGGGAGGAAAAACAGCTCTGGCGTAGCCTTTACAGAGAATTCCTCTCTCAGAGGGTTTGGCACTTTAAAGACTTATTATTTATAAAGCTCAAGCATCTTCAATATCTGGGATTGCTTCTGTGTCCTGAAGTACAGCCAACATCTGTTCCACAATACTGAAGGTGACAGAGCATTTGTGTTCCAAGTGACAAGAATAAACACGATCCAAACCACAGAGTGGTTTGGGTTGGAAGGGACCTTAAACCTCACATCATTCCACCCCCTGCCACAGGCAGGGACACCTTCCTAAAGGATAAAAACACCAACATCCACGTTTGTGTTTTCAGCACTGAGCTGAGACACAAAGCACAAGAGAATCTCCAGGGATGACATCACTTTGGATCCCAGCTCGCAGCCTCGGGGTGTCTGACACGCTCCTCGCTGAGCCCACAGCCCGTCTGACAGCACAGAGAGCCAGGCTGGAATCTCTGCCGAGTGCTGGAGCTTCCCTCCTTCCCCAGGAACGCAGCCTGAGC